CTTACATAATATTTTTGCTATAGAATACTTCGGTGCACAGTCAACAACAACAAAAACACATTATTCAGAAAACTTTTCATTTTATCAGACTTGCAGAGGTGTTTTCGTTGACCATTTTGATTAAAAAAAATGTTGGATTTCATTGAGAAATAACAGTATTGTAGTCAAAATATTAAACACTGAAACATAGGGTGTTCCCAAAATGTTTGGAACATAGTTTATTTTGCAAATATCTCTGTATAGATAAATGATAAAATCTTGTTTTTTATTCTTCACAAGATGCATCGTGAAAAGCTCTACAAAAACTATAATAACACATCCCTATTTATTTATTTTGATAGTTTGTTCATACTCGAAATGAAAAAAAGACACGTAATAATGTTACTTCTCATCACATGCAGCATGTTAAAAATGCTTGAAAGGCTTTTATATTTTGCAGTAATCTCGGCTAAATAAAATGATAGCATCTTGATTTCTTTTCAAAAGATGCACCGTCGAAAACTCTATAGAATCTGTATAGACAAATTCCTATTGCAAAAGAAAAAACCTTCCGAACATTTTTATTATCAGTTTGTAATTTTATGCCATGTTTTTCTTAGTACTGAAGTTGGTATAGATAAATTAAATTAATGCTATGTAGTTCTGATACACGACTCAAAACACAAACGTGGTACAAGACTTTTGAGCTGCACTGTGTTAAGAAGTTATCATAACCCCAACAACCCACAGTCAGGCCAGACCTCAACAAACGATATGGATTCAGTGTTTAATTATCTCCATGTTTTTCATCATCTATAGCTCGCTATCTTACATTGGAAAATAAAGTGACTCTAAGTTTTCTACCTATTTTCAATTCAAGGTGTGTGGATTTGGGTCTTACCTTATACTTATATTAGACACTCACACCAACCCACACTCCACCCTGTACAAAAAATTCTAATAGTTCCGTATTAGAATTGAAAATTTAATTTGATGCATTCGTATTAGTATTAAGTGAACATCAGACTAATATGCGAGCGGTATCCAAAAACACAAAAAAATGATTCCTTGTTGAAAAACAGCAACTTTACCGTTCTGGTAAAAAAATTATTTTCACAACGGAAGAGATTGCATTAATGCTAATGCCACAATATCAAATTCATTTTTCAATCCGAACACAAAAGCATTCATTTAGTTTTTTGAATCCTAATACAAGAGTATTAAAAGCAGCACTAATAAGCAATAGTAATGCTTAGTTGTCATTCCTAGTTCAGAATACTTGTTCAACTATTCTTTTGAAGCGTCATAATCGTTCAAGAAAAGACTTTCTTCGTTTGCTCATCGTTGAGTTGATTATTCTTGTTCTTTCAAGATATCCATTTAATATAGAAAATATTTATCAAGAACCTATCAAATAATTTACTTCTACAAAGTCTTCTACTTAATAATTATATCAATTTGATATTCACATGTGTTATAGGTCCATATCTAAACAGTTATAAGGTTCTTCATCAAGATTTATTTCAAATTCTAGAAAGATTTTAAATGGTGATTTCAGTTGTAAAACTGTTCTTAACGACGTTAAAGAGAATGAGCAGTATCATCGGATTTCCACAAGTAAGAACTTCAGAAGACCATAAAACCCTTTGATTTTTTCAAAACTTTAAAAAAACAACTACAATTTATTTTGACTTCAAAAAAATGAAAAAGGAAAACATCTTGTACGATATGCTTCGACTATAGGCTTTGTTTCTCAACAAAGATTACTTTAAAATAAAATTTCAGATGTTTGATTAAAATTTAATCCATCTAAAAATTGTTTTCGTATCCGCTTTTGTCATAAAACCACTTATGTTAAACTTGTAAGTGGTACTGGATATTTTGAAAAAGTATTGTTAAAAATACTTTTAAACATAGGATCACGTAAAATTATTCTACATGTCTTTATTTATCATCTTTTAAAGTCTTTTTGTATATAAAAAGTACATTTCGTTTCACGTAAGAGTGATCCGTCTCCCTATGCTTTACCTTATTTTTTTAAATTAAGAAACAGTAATCTTAGGATAATCAGGAAAGATTATTTTCCTATTTCTGATGGAATAATCAGCTTTTCATCTAGGGTGTGAGTGTTAGTCTTTCCTTCTGTGACACACACACCCACATCCTAGTTTACTGGTTAACTGATATTCGACTTGAAACGGTACGAGCCTGGTTCGATTCCATCCGAATGGATAGTTAAAACGTCTGTTCGAATTCGTACTCAGTAATCAATCGCCGAAGCTTCTAACTGTTTCCAAAAGTAATTTGATAAAGTATATAAAATATTCTATCAGAGACTATTTGAATAGATGAACTACTCGTCAGTAGTTACGATGGCTACAATGGTGGATCCAGAAATTGTGAGTGACACATGCGAAGATTAAGTTAAGCAGCAGAAATTCGTAGTAGTTATTTGTTTTCCAAAGTTTTCTTCTACAAGAAAGTGAAGAAATCTTTTTGAAGTATATATGAACGCATATACCACCGTTATCCTAAAGCCACTACCCCGATAGCTACCGGTTCAAAACATTCATTATTATTATTATATTTAAATTACCAGTGATATGTACATTATCAATAACATGTTGCTTTTATGTAATATTAGGCATTTAATTTTTTAAAAATTATGAAAAAATAATCGTCTGTAATTTAACAACTGTATGATAAGGCTTATTTATAGCTACACATACGATCATAATTATAAATATAGAATAATGTGTAATGAACAAAAATATGAAATAAAAAATCTTCTTATAAAAATAAAACCTAGTAAAAAAGAAAATAAAAATATTATTGGCTTGTTTTGTTTTCACACGTCTGCGATGATGTTTTGTGCTATCAACGTCGAAATATTATTATTAAGATTTTTCAAAATAAAAAAATGATTCATCTATGAATTTTTGAATTGCAATTCCGCACTTTTATGATACATTATCCATATTAAAAATATTATTCTATATTTATAATTTCCTATCACAGAGAGCATAACTGCGAAATCTGAACTCTCATTTTGATGAAAAAAACCAACAAAGATTATATCCGTTCGTTAATGCTAAACTTTTTTTTATTTATTTCTTCAGTATATGAGATTTCTATCATTTTCTATAACTGAAATTTAATATCGAAGTTACCGACATCAGATCGAAGTCATTACACACACACGAAAGTAATTATAAGCCTCTAAATCTTTGAAAAGTCGGGTAAAATTTCGAGCAAGATTCATACGAAAGCAATCAAACACGATTGAAAACTATTCATCGTTATTTATACGAACGTGTAACTTTGTAACGTCATCCTTTTTCATGCTCATTTATTTTTCATATGCATAAATATGTATCTTTCTTCGTTATCGTCAATGTTGTTTTGACAAGAAGGAAGAAAAAAGCGAATAGGTAATTTTTTTCTCATCTATAACATTAATCTTCCGAGCATGTTTCTATCACGCTTGCGACCATTCCGAAGAGAAAAGAAATTGGAGTCACATGTCACTCATTATCTTGTTTCATTTCGTCCTAAAATGACGTCTACCGTTGACGATCAGAACAATGGTAAGAGAGAGTATCTATCATCTCTATTAAATCGATTATTATTTCATTGTGTAGATATTCTCGTGGTGGATCCATCACCTGGACAAAACAATCTATTTTCGGATCTTCAAGAATCTCTATCTCGTTTTCAATGCGCGCTTGCACAACAATCATCAACGGACGAGACTATTGAATGCAACATCGCCAATCATTCCCAATGCATACTTGATAAAATTCAAAGTATCGACCAACTTGAATATTCATCAGAAACCTTCGATATCGCTCATATGGTATTTCGAGTCTATATCAGCGATATTCTTCCACTAACTGATAAGTATGAAGATATATTATCGTTACTGTTAAGTACAAAGATTAATTTCAATCTCGAGGCCTTGTTCAAGCAGGATGAAAACTTTACTCGTCGATTATTTTTTAGTACCCTTGATTTACTTGCATTGCCAATCATGGTCGATTATCTCGAAGGAAAACAAAAAGAAACACAAACACATCAATTACAAATTGCAATGTGTGTTATTATCAATCGACTTCAACTAACATCCGCATGGATGACTTTCGAGAAAGATGATCTCAACGATCAGGAATCAATTTTGAGATTGCTTTTGAAATTTATTAATTCAAATATTCACTGTGACGATTCTTCGATAATCAAACAACTTTTCAATCTTTTCATATTTCTAACAGAAAAAACCATTCTCGTACCAAGTTTTATTAATGCCGGTTGTGTTATCTACATTTTACAATGGTTAGAAACGGAACAATTAGCATACGAAATCCAAGGTTCGTGTATACATATTTTTTATAATTTAGCACAAAAAAGTGAAGGAGCCAAAGCTTTGAATCAAGCAGATGGTCTTCGAATACTAAAAGATTGTACAAATCGTCTACTCGATCCGAATGTGATTAATGGACAATATGGCTTCGAAAATATGCAATTACTATACTGTATGGCTATGTCTTTATTGATTGAACCGAAACAAAATCATGAATATGTCAAAAATCATCGTCGAATTCTTGATTATCTCCTGCAATCGACGATAAATGCGAGTACCATGGATAATTTTTGCTATGCTGATTTTCATATTTCACGGCCAATTGTTGTTCTTACAAAATTATTTGTACAAGATGAAATAATAAAATATATATTTGATGAAGCACCAGTGAAAAATTTTCCTTTATCATCGAAAGTAGCATTTTTTGCTAATTTGCTCATTCGTTTCCGTGGAGCATTAACGATGGATGAGGACGAAGCTAATGCATTGACATTGACTGCTCTATTCAATATTCTGTGGAGTATTTCATTTCATGACGAATATCTTTCTGAACTTCAAACTAATCGACAATTTTTGCTTACTGTGAAAACATTTGCTTACGATTCAAGTGAAATTCGAAGTGAAAAATATGTTTTTTCCAATATGTCTCCGATTTGCAAAGCAGCCAATGGTATTTTGTTGAATCTTGGTGAAAGTATCAGCAGTGAGTAAAAGAATTCATCTTTCAGACTAAACTATTGTTTGATAGACCATTTTAATCTTATTTTTCTTCTAATAATTGATGATTCCTTTGATATATTTTGATTAGTAGCTGCATTTGTTCTACTTTTATTGAAAGTCGTGAAATAAATCACGAATTTTCTTTGCAATATAGATTTATTTGACGAGAATGAATCGAGCATAATCACCATCTCGCTCAATAAATTCAGAGAACGAATTTGAAGTTGGAAAGCAGTTATTGTTTTTTTCCGATACTGAACACGTATCAGTCTATTCGATGATAGACAGGTTTTGTTACCTATTAAAAATCGTACTGCGATTTCATTGTCGATGGCGTGATTCTGTTGTTGATGATAATTTCGATACATCTATGCATATACGATACACCAACATGCTCGTGTATTTTCATGCCCTGGAATGTTATTTTCATTTTTATTAAGCTTCTCCGCACTTACTTAAGAAACTAATGCTTTTGCTACATTCTTGTCGAATTTTTTTTATCGCATACCCTGAGAGACCAGAATGTTTAACTACAGAACCTATACACATTTTTTGGTAAACTCATGGATTTTATCAAAAAAAGTTTCTTTCGTCCTTCGCTGTCATGAAACGTCGATTTGATTAGATACTTAATTAGAAGACTGAACATGGTAACAGAGTCTTTTTCAATGTTTTGATCTGGAACGAAAATATTTATTATTTACTACAATTTAGTAGAGTTTTTTTTGTTAGGTATCACTTTCTAATCAATGTTGACAATAGACGAAGTAAAACATTGCAAAAACTCAATATTAGTCTCTTCATTTGAATGCCTTTACCATCTAAAATTATGTTGAGAGAGAGAGCTATTAACCTTCATCATCAAATCGACAAAAAAGATGTCCGATCAACCCTATGTTTTTACAAGTCTTAAGTTTAGAGAAAATAATACTTCCAAGAAGTTGCGATGAAGCGAGTCACTTGCAAGGATCAACTCGCGCGAACGTACTTATATTTATTGTTTTCAAGACAATATTTGAGCTCTTTTACTGGCTGACTTCTGTGATACGAAACAGTGGATATCATTACGAAAGCGAATTAGATGACACAATCTGATGTAATCGATTTGTTCTAGCGCGTGTTCCGCAAACACCGAACATCATAGTTCAATCATTGGCAATACCTCCAGCAAATCAGAGTAATCGAATTAATTTGATGATCAGCTATTCACATGCAAATGCAGACTTTTGTCATGATCTTGTCAATGCACTTCAGAAGGGTAAGTTTTCATTGATAGAATCAGTTTTTCTTGAGGAACAATAAAATTGAATTTCTATTTTGAAGATCCTCGTCTCGATATTTGGGTTGATTTTATCTATTGTCGTAGTGGTGATTTGTGGGAAGAAATAAGTGAAGCGATTGAAAATGCTCATGTTATTCTATTTATAATTACAAAAGAATATCAAAGTAGTAAATCGTGCCGTCAAGAAGTTATGTATGCAAGAGATACACTAAAGAAACGGTTTATTCCTATCTATTTAAAAAATGATTTTGTCGCCAATAGTTGGTTAGGCATACGTATTGTTGGTGCGCAATACATTCGCTTTGGAAAACGATCTTTCGGTGACTCCATTACAGAAATTCTTAATCTAATGGTCGATAATCCATCACAAAAACAGAAACAAAATGCACTCAAACAAACAAAGATGTCCACGACTCTTGCCACAGATCCGATCGATATTCAGGATAAAATTCTTGATAAACAGTTAGACAAGAGTCAAGATCAACCGATCGAACTGATTTTGAACACTGTTACTAATCAACCAAAGCCGATTGAACAATGGACATTTGAGGATATTGATCAATGGTTTCATCAGAATACTATCGAACCGAAGTTAAAAGATCTCTATCGATTTCAACATACTACCGATCTTCTCTTGTATGGACAATGTTTACAATCGGATTGACAGCATGAATATGCAGATATGCGAGAACGATATGCTCGTGAATATAATGAAACATTATATCGGGATCAATTTGTACTTCTTGTCGGTGCCCTTGATCGTCTTCAACGCGCACAGCAGTAAACAAAGCAAGACAATTGCTTCATATTCATCAGACAAAAGACACATTGAGTTTAGTGTCATTTAAAACTTGAAACTTATAATAGCATATTCTCTTGTATGAATCAAAAACAGTCGATTATTTTTCTTGATAATGATTGAAAACATTCAATGTGTCTTAGTAAAATGTCTCAGTTCAGTTGTCTATGCATCTGGCGATGGATGTGTGTGGATGTATTGCGTGTGTGATTTATAAACAAATGGTGAAACGAAAGTATTTTATTTTTGTCAACTGATAGAAACTTTTCTCCTCTATCGGACCGGATATAACTTGCTTGTATCACTCATTTATAATTACAGCTATACGAGGAAAATAAAACACAGGACCATTAAGAACTCAAAGCAGGAAGTGGTGGAGGAATAGGCGAATGCATTTTCGAAAATAGGAGAAAATAGAAAAACACTTCGAATTGAAGAAGATTGGAATAGCTCATACGTTTAATTAGAACTACCTACGACAAAAACAAAGATGAACATAAACAAGCTAAATTCAATGATTAACGATATTATTTTTTTGACCATTTTTCACTTAGTTGTTGTTTGTTATTTATTTTATTCAAAATTAAACAATAAATAATAGTTTTTATTTTCTCTAGTGACATAATCGCCAATGAATAAATGACTAAGTATATGTTAGCGTCCAAACAAAGATTACGTCCAATGTAGAATTAAAAGGAAATTATTGCACGAAAAATAGTCCGATATTTTTTACTAGAATACTCATAATTCTTGAACGATGAAATATAGAAGTCTGTGACTTATCCAGCTATGTTGATCTTCGATATCTGTTTTTGAAATGCATACCTGATAATTAAAAATTCAGTTATCACTTCAGAGTATGTTGATATTCAACAGACAAGTTTGAAAAAATCTATTATAACGGGTTATTGGAAAGTAATTTCACAAAGTGTTGATTCATTTTTCAGCTTCTTACAGGAGAGTTTACAGAAATTTGAAAACATTTGCTTAGCGTCAAATTAAATTGAGATGAACTTGAGCTCGCCAAAGATTGCTCAACGTAGAATCGAAAATCATTTCAAAGATAGCGAATGAAAGAGTAAAAATTTCTTTATAAAATGGTATACTAATGATTAGTTTACTTCAAGCTATTTGTTAACAGTTAGTATTTTCGTAAGAACCATCTGGCCAATTTACACAATTTTCTAGATTTCTTTGGAAAACAGATGCGAAAAATGAGCATGACCATTTCTGAATGATTGTTCTAAAACTCTGGGTTCTTATATCACTTCTTAGAGAACAATTTTCCTTGTATTTCTTTGCGAAAAAAACGGTAATATGACGTATGCAGTAAAGAAGACTATGGCTACAAAAAGAATATAAGTTTTCTATGTTCAAACCCTAATTGTTGCTCCTCTAAAAGATCATCTCATAACTCTCAAACCAAAATTCTTACAAAAATAATGAATTCAGGGTGGGTGTGGGTGACGTAGATCTTAAATTCTTCCACATCCAGGCTCAAGCCCCCATTGCCGAGTCAAATATCATTTTTAGCTTATAATTCTGAGTGCACAGTTTCAATGATATTTAATGCTGCTCTGGACATAACTAATGATGAAGATTTTCATGAATGGGTGTGGGTGGAATGTGTGTGTTGGTCTAGATGTAGGGAAGTGACTAAAAAGAACATCCAGACCACACCCACCCTCAAGAGATCCTAAAACGAGGTATCCAATTCATATATTTATATTTGGAAGTCTTTACTTTTGAACAAGAAAAAATGAACTCATATTCAATTGCTTGCATAAACTTAATTGATCGCGCACAATATATGAACAAAAGTAGGTGTGAGATGTGAGTGAATGTGGCTTTCAATCCTCTGTTCACTCACACCTATCCAAATGATTATTTGATCATAGTTTCTTTAGAAGCTGTGGAAGAATATAAAAGTGTTAGCAAGTTTTGGCTGGTTTTTGTTCAAGATGCATGCGAATTAGGCATGTACGAAGCTCGAGTAACTGAAGTTCGGTACAACTCTAAGCTAAGCTATTCTTTAGAAGTAAATATCACTCAATTGAAGTGCTCATATTCATTCATTTTAACTGTGTGAAAAAAATGTTAGTACTTACAACTAGACATGTTAGCCTCCGACTCGATTTTGAATGAGTCTTCTTTATTTTTAGAAAAGATATGGCACTTCTTGTACATAACTGACTTTGAACCTTTAGCTGTCGCTTTTGTATTCTGTAAGAACTATCAACACAGGAAGAAATTTCTATTTTTCTTTTTTTGCTAGAGACTATCANAAGTGTGGGCGTGAATACATGAAGAGAGAGTTCAGAGCCACCCACACCCACACACCCACCCACACCCCACACCCACCCACACACACACACCCACACATCCACACACCCACACATCCACACACCCACACATCCACACACCCACACCCACACCCACACCTACGCGTACACCCTTCGTATTAGAAAGGTGATCATAGCAAAAGGAATCTCAAAAAAACTGTTATCTGTTTAGAGTAACAAATTGTTTACTTGTAAAGATTTTACTGTATAAATGAACGACTTTTTTAAATAGAACGTAAAAAAAACAGGTACTGTTAAAAATTTAGCACAACTTATTATTTTCCTGAGACATTAACGAAACGTTTAATTGTAATGGATAGGAAAGCACTAATTGACAAGATCTGTCATTTATTTCGAACGATTTAGTCTATATAGATAAGTGTTATTTCGTCAAATGATTTAATATATGATATAAAATCTTGAGAAAAAAGTATCGAAGCTTATTTCGTAATCGTGGAATATGACATCAATCTGAATTCTTTCTTTTGTGTCTAAATTATGAACTACATAAGCGAAGAATGATGATTCCAACGTTCACTTCTGAGAATTTTTCGATCAGAAAACTCTAGAAATAGTCGAATTATAGGAGCAAGGATATGATATCATATTCTGTGCTTTATTATTAAAATTAAGCGAACTATTGAATGATGGCATTATATTTTTAATACCATAATTCTACTAGAGTGTGAATAGGCCAATGGAGAAAAGTGTGACTTCATTATGTTGAAGTACGAATGAAGTACTGAAGTCATGCTTTTTACTTTCTTCGGGTGAGCTCAGAGAAAAAACCAACACTCACACTAAATCCTCGTTGAAAAGATGTCTGGTATTCGAGTTGATGACGTTTTCATTTGTTAGATTGTATCGTGTTTATGATTCAAATTAAATGATGAATAGCACAAATTGATAATTCTTCGAACTCAGTAATCAACCGAAGAAGCTTGTAACTGTTCTCAAAAGTATTTTGATAAAATACATAAAATATTCTATTAGAGACTATTTGCATAGATGGACTGTCCATAAGTAAAGAGTATTTGTTAGTTTATTTTATTCTTTTATGTCAGGCGATGATGTTTTTGTGTTGCCAACGTCAACATATTAATAAGACTGTTCAAAATAAAAAAAATGAATCATGCATGGATCCTTGAATTGTAATTCGGTACTCTTATGAACCAAAGTAATCAAACTTGTAAATCTTTCAAAAGCCTGGTGAAATTTCGAGCAAGATTGATTCATACGAAAGCAATCTAGCACGATTGAAAACTATTCATCGTTATTAAAACGAACGTATAACTTTGCAACGCTGTCCTTTTTCACGCTCATTAATTTTTTATGTATACATATAAAATATATATATCTTTCTTCGTTATCGTCAAGGTTGTTTTGACAAGAACGAAAAAAAAGTGTATAGGTAATTTTTTTTTCTCATCTATACCAATAATCTTTCGACTCTGTTTCTATCACGTTTGCGACAATTCTGAAGAGAAAAGCAAACAGAGTCACATGTCACTCATTATCTAATTCCATTTTGTCCGAAAATGACGTCTATCGTTGAGGATCAGGACAATGGTAGGAGAGCATCTATCATCTCTATTGAATTAATTATAATTCAACTATGTAGATATTCCTGTAGTGGATCCATTATCTGCACAAATTAATCTCTTTTTGGAACTTCAAGAATCTCTATCTCGTTTCCAATGTGCGCTTGTACAACAATCATCAATAGATGAAACTATTGAATGCAACATCGCCGACCATTTTCAAGGGATACTTGACAAAATTCAAAGTATCGACCAACTAGAGTATTCATCCGAAACCTTCAATATCGTTCATATGGTATTTCGAGCCTATATTAGCGATATTCTCCCACTAACTGATAAGTATGAAGACATTTTATCATCACTATTAAATACAAACATTAATTTCATTCTCGAAGTCTTGTTCAAGCAGGATGAGAACTTTACACATCGAGTATTTTTTAGTACCCTTGGTTTACTTGCATTGCCAATCATGGTCGATTATCTCGAAGGAAAACAAAAGGAAACACAAACACATCAATTAAAAATTGCAATGTGTGTTATTATCAATCGACTTCAACTACTATCCACATGGATGACTTTCGAAAAAGATGATCTCAACGATCAAGAATCAATTTTGAGATTACTCTTGAAATTTATTGATTCAAATATTGACTGTGACGATTCGATAATCAAACAACTGTTCAATCTTCTCATATTTCTAACAGAAAAAACCATTCTCGTACCGAGTTTTATTAATGCTGGTTGTGTTATCTACATTTTGCAATGGTTAGAAATGGAGCGATTAGCTTACGAAATTCAAGGTTCGTGTATCCATATTTTTTATAATATAGCACAAAAAAGTGAAGGAGCCAAAGCATTGAATCAAGCAGATGGTCTTCGAATATTAAAAGGTTGTACATATCGTCTGCTCGATCCGAATGTAACCAATGGACAATACGGTTTCGAAAATATGCAATTACTCTACTGCATGACCATGTCTTTATTGATTGAACCGAACCAGAATAGTGAATATGTCAAAAATCATCGTCGAATTCTTGACTATCTCATGCAATCGACAATAAATGCTAGTAATATGGATGATTTTTACTATGCTGGTTTTCATATTTCAAGGCCAATTATTGTTCTTACAAAATTATTTGTACAAGATGAAATAATAACATATGTACTTGCTGAAGCACCAGTGAAAAATTTTCCGTTATCATCGAAAGTAGCATTTTTTGCTAATTTGCTCATTCGCTTTCGTGGAGCATTAACGATGGATGAAGACGAAGCTAATGCATTGACATTGACTGCTTTGTTCAATATTCTATGGAGTATTTCATTTCATGACGAATATCTTTCGGAACTTCAAACTAATCGACAATTTTTGCTTACTGTGAAAACATTTGCTTACGATACAAGTGAAATTCAAAATGAACAATATGTTTTTTCCAACATGTCTACGATTTTCAAAGCGGCTAATGGTATTCTGTTGAATCTTGGTGAAAACATTAGCAGTGAGTAATACACCATTTTGATTCGATTTCTCTTCTAGTAGTTGATGAGAATTTCTACTAGTGTTTGTGATATATTTTCATCGTGTCTTTAATTCTACTCTTGAATGAAACAATAGGAGCAAAAGTGAAAAAAAATACGGTTTGTAAAGTCTGGTTTTTTTAAATTTTTGAAGTCTATAACGAGACAATTGATCTATTTTTGTTGGAAGTCGTGAAGTAATTTACGAATTTTCTCTGCCGATGACGTGATTCTGCTATTCATGATCATTTCAATATTCATATGCATTTGCGATGCACCGACATGCTCGTGTATTTTCATGCCCTGGAATGTTAGTTTCATTTTTATTAAGTTTCTCCGCACTTGTGTAAGAAACTGATGTTTTTGCTAAATTTCTCTAGAATTCTCTTTTATCGCATAAACTCATAGATCAGAATGTTTAATTACAGAAAATATACCCATCTTTAGTAAACTGATAGATTCTACCATCCAACAAAAGACGTTTGGAGAATGGTGAACTCTCAGTCTTGCAGCTTCGGTGAACCTATTCAGGCTAAATTCAAAGAAGTTTTTATATAGGTGACATTGAACTGAGAAAACTAGAAGCATACACAAAAAAAAGACTCTTTCTTTATTATTAAATTCGGCTTTATTGAAAACAAAATGCTTCAACATCTAAAATATCGTATATTCTTTCGACTTTTGTCTTTTTCCATATTGAAAAATAGTGTTTCTTTCGTCCTTCGGCGTCATGAAACGATGACTTTATTAGATACTTAATTAGAAAACTGAACATGATAACAGAATCTCTTTCACTCTTCTGATTTGGAACGAAAATATATATTATTTACCAATCTTAGTCTCTTCATTTGAATGTTTTTACCAACTGAAATTATATTGAAAGACAGAGCTATTAACCTATTAATCTTCTTCATCACACCCATAAAAAGATATCCGATCAACGCTACATTTTCACAAGTTTTGAATTGAGAGAAAATAATACTTCCACTAAACCATAATGAAGCGAGTCAACTGCAAACATCAACTCGCATGAACGCACTGATATTTATTGTTTTCGATCCAATATATAATCTGTTTTATATGCTGATTTCTGTGTTACGAAACAGAGGGTATCATCATTATGAAAACAAATCAAATGAAATAATCTAATATAATCGATTCTTTGTAGCACGTACTCCGGATTCATCGCACACTATAGTCAAGTCATGGGTAACATCTATAGCGAATCAGAGCAATCGAATTAATGTGATGATCAGCTATTCGCATGCGAATGCAGACTTCAGTCGTGATCTTGTCAATGCACTTCAGAAGGGTAAACTTTCATTGATAGAATCAATCTTTCTTGAGGAACAATAAAATTGAATTTCTGTTTCAAAGATCCTCGTCTCAATATTTGGGTTGACTTTATCTATTGTCGTAGTGGTGATTTGTGGGAAGAAATAAGTGAAGCGATTGAAAATTCTCATGTTATTCTATTTATAATTACAAAGGAATATCAAAGTAGTAAATCGTGCCGTCAAGAAGTGATGTATGCAAGAGATACACTAAAGAAACGATTTATTCCTATCTATTTAAAAAATGACTTTGTTGCCAGCAGTTGGTTAGGCATACGTATTGTTGGTGCGCAATACATTCGCTTTGGAAAACGGTCTTTCGGTGATACCATTACGGAAATTCTTAATCTAATGCTTGATAATCCATCACAAAAACAGAAACAAAATGCATTCAAACAAACAAAGATACCCACGACTCTTGTTGCGGATCCGATCAATATTCAAGATAAAATTCTTGATAAAAATCTCGGGAAAAGTCAAGATCGACCAGTCGAACTGATTATGAATACTGTTACGAATCAAATCAAATCGATTGAACAATGGACATCCGAGGATATTAATCAATGGTTCGAGCAGAATACTATCGAGTCGAAATTAAAAGATCTCTATCGATTTCAACATGGTACCGACCTTCTCTTATATAGACAATGTTTACGACCCAATTGGCAGCATGAATATGCAGATATGCGAGAACGATATGCTCGCGAATATAATGAAATATTATATCGGGATCAATTTGTACTTCTTGTCGGTGCCCTTGATCGTCTTCAATACGCACAGCAAAAACCAAAACTAGACAATTAAGATGAACATCCTCATATGTATCAGTCGAAAAACACATTGAGTTCAGTATCATTTAAAACTTGAAAGAAATATTAGCATATTCTCTTGTATGAATCAAAAACAGCCGATGATTCTTCTCAACAATGATTGAAAACATTCAATGTGTTTTAGTAAATGTATCATTTTAGTTGTCTATGCACCTGGCGAGGGGGTGGGGGCTGTGGGTATATTGGAGGGGCAGGAGAATGCATTTTCGAAAATAGGAGAAACTAGAAAAATACTTCGAATTGAAGAAGATTAAAATTCGTCCATGTGCTTAATTAAAACTGCCTACACAAAAAAACATGGATGAATATAAACAACCTAAATTTGACGGGTGTGGGCGTGGGTGAAGTAGATACCCATATCCATATCTTTTAGAAGCAGAGAGAGCGTGAAATTCTCTATCGACTGATTTATTTTTTCATTTTAGCGAAAATCTCTTGGTTAGAAAATGTTGACTATACATTCATGACTTGTCCATCGGATCATAATCGTCTTGTTGGCGATATAATTGTATTTTATATATCACCTCCATGTTTAACACATTAATAAATGAGGAAAAATATTACTTATTAATAATACTTCTACAGTTATTGATATTCTTGATACGTATTTTAAATACTGATCTAATCTTTTTATTTCTTTTTCTAATGTATCAACGTAAAACAAAGAAAAAAATATATGTATAGATCTCTTGTTTTTTTTTAATAATTATTGTTCTATTCGATTAATAGTTCAATCTGTCTCTCAAAGTGAACATTTTAATCGTTACGCGTAACTAAGACAATAATAGATTCTTGAAGATTAATTACTTGCTGCTTGACAACGTAGACCAGATTCCGACAAGGCTGTTCGATATATAGCACATACATTATGTGCTAGCTCCCAACTCGAAATAAGTAAAGATAATTCTTTTGTGTGTTTTTTCAAAACAAAAACTTTTGTTACTTACCAACTAGATTTCAACATTTAAGTGTAAATGAAGCAGATGATTGTAATGTTTCTGATGTTGGATTGCTTTTATTATTGATTGCATTTGTTGATTGTGCAACTGTTAGATTATTTTCTGACAACTCAAAACGAGCAAAAGAAGGCAAATGCTGAGGCATGGAAAATTCATTTATATGTGAGTAAGATTTTCTTACTTTCTGCATAAGAAAAACTTGAAAATTTTTGGCATCGAGAAAACTCCTTGAAATATGACAAAAAAAATCACAATAAAATAAAGGTAATAAATAAGAAATCTGGTCCAATTTTCTACATGTTAGTAGTTTATGAACAACACAAACACATATAATAAATCATTTTTCAAGTAGTCCGACAAGAAAAGTCAATTATGTCTATAGAATCCGTATTCAAACATCGTCCATCATTGACATTTTACATGATGGTGATTTTGGTAATCAATAGAACATATGGAATGCTACTATATGAATCAGTTAATAACTAAAAGTCAGCAGAAAGCAGTTAGTAACAAATGCATTTGGTTATATCCAATGAAAGCCACAGTAATGATACGCTTTGGATAGTAGTTCATGATCTACCTGTGTATTGATCACTAAAATAAAGAAAAGAAAAACAACAATGTAATTTATTAATATAAATTAAGTGGTAATCATTTTGGAATAACAGTAGAAGCTGCATTCAATGCTTTTACGTTTTAATTAAATAGATTTAAAAAACCGACGAGTATAAAGGTTTTTATAGCATTTAGTTAATTATCGAAGAAAACGAAAAATAATTAAAAATTATTGATTTTTCTTCGTTGAGGTGAGAACTTGAACAAGGACGATATCTATAACTAATTAACCAATAATTTGCGATTTTCTCACTGACTATATACCCTCGAATCAAGCAGCCAAGGGTGTGGGTGTTCGTGAACAGAAGAATCACACTCACATCAGGACTATTAAATGTCCTGATTTAGCCAGAAGGCTCCTACTTTTTAGACTTTTCTCCTGATGAAAAAATCTCCTGGAACCAGCAGCTGTTTTTTTTTAGATTCTCTCCTAGCTTCTCCTGTTTTTTAAGGATTTCATTATTCTGAGCTTTTGTGTCATGTTGAATTCAATAAAAGAAAAAAAACAACTATTACACTGTCTCATAGATACAACAACCAATACGAATACACGTTGTTTTTGCTTGAGTTCTACAAAATTAAGATGATCAACTTCATAAACAAATCCTATGGCAAAGATTTGTGTAACTGTGAATAAAAAGAAAGAACCGACTGTATATTTATCGAATACATACGTTGCAAGAAAATGAGAACACTGAAGTCTGAGATTTATTGAAAGAAATTTTTTGTAACAAACTTTGCCACATCAAGTAAAAATACTGATTCTTTTTCACTGGAAAAAATTCAAATAAAAAACTGCTTCATTATCATACATGAAATTAATTAAACTTTATTTGTGAACATTAAAAACGAATGGTTATCGAATCCGTTAGCTTGTTTATTTTTGGAAAAATGCATGAATTATCTTTCTTTCTCTTCGTCATGTAGCACTTAGAGGATAGTCTTGTCAACGGTAACTTAACAGTAGAAAGAAAAAGATAGTTATCTGAACAAAAACTTCAGTTTCTTTCGAGACAAGTCAGTCAAATAGTTACTTCAGTCCCATAAAGATCTACTGATTTTCCCTTCTTGTTTTTTTCGGTAAAATCTTCTAGTCAACTACTGGTTTTTTAGATTTGGATTTGACAGCCCTGACCCACACCCCACCCTTCATTAGATTATAGGTGAAAATTTGTTGAATGAAATTTTTATAAATATTATTCAAGTATATTCGTAGAATTGATTTTTACCGCACATTTTTATTGTTAGAATAAACGCCTTAATGCCATTATTATGGATAAACGATAAAAATTAAATGTTGATTCAAGTCATATTTCAAAGATGGAATTCGATTATCGTTGTGAAAATATATTATCTCACATATCAACTTGTATTCGATCACTCATTTTATCAAACAATGGAACATCCAACGAAATTGATAAATTTTCATTAAAATTCGATTTAAAAATATTCATCAATTTAAGATCATTAACTCTCACTCACACCCCGAGCAATATTCGCTCATATGAAAAAAAAATCAGCGATGATACTAACTTAGATTCGTTTGGTAAGATCTCCTTCGGGATGGTTGGATGTTGGCAAACAAATAAATGCTACGAACGACCGGTTGCAGAGACTCAGCTTCACCTTAGAGACACTCAGTCAGAACTTGAATGAGTATGTCTGGGATGTAAGGATTGTGAGCTAAGTCTTGAACATTTACAAAATATCTTGCGTATACGAGAGAAAGTGTTGGGGAAAAATTATTCAAAATTTGGAGAGAGTTATTTGAACATTGAACTCTATGTTGGCAACAAGATAAAAATGAAGCGACGTTGGTTAACTTGGAAGGGGATATTTGAATTGAAGAGACGGTGTCCAATCCAAATGATATTTCTCTTCTCACATCATATTTCAGAACAGCTGCAATGTACAATCAGATGGAACAGTATGATTTGGGATGTGTAGATGTGGGCGTGGATGCATCGATGTAGAAGAACAGAACAATATCCATAGCCGCGCTCATACCCATACAGCTATCGGATCCAGAGATCGGTCCCAAGCATTGAAGTCTGCTGACAATGAGCTGGAACCGATCGGGATCCTGTTTCCGGAATATGCTGGCAAATCACCGAATTTGGCCGTTTCCCGCTGTATGTCTTCGACCTGGGATATTGATCATAAAATCATCAACCCATACAAAGTAAACAATTGAGATGTATTCCTATTTGAGAAGATTAAGGATAAAATATTAAATTTATGAGTGATACGGATGGGCACTGAAGTCAAGTTACACGAAAGAAACATAAAACAAATAGCATAACCATTCCTATCGTATTCAAAAGAACATTCCGATGAACTTGTCAACAGGGATTTCGCATATGACTCCTCAAAAACAAAATGTCCATCATTCACGAACCAGCACCCCATAAAAAACAAAAGTCAACAAATCCTATCCAGAAGAAAAAAGCAAACTCCAATCAATACTGATCAGAAAAAGTAGGAAAACTGTTGAATTACTCAAGATCCACAAGATACTATACAACAAGCTTCCTTCTAAAAACAAACAAAAACACCAACATTAATAGTTCAATATAATTACAACAACGTTGACATGCTTGGCATATCAACATCATATTTTACAATCGCCTAAAAAAGAACAAGAAAAATTATATTTTGAATACGGCTCAAGCAGTTTTCATAAATTTTTATTTTTTATTAGCAGTGACACAATTGAATTAAAATGAGTACTATTTGATGATCCTCGTTGTTGAGGTGAAATGTTAACATTATGGTTGCTTGACACACTCATGCCTACATCCACACCCTCAAATTCGAGTTAAACTGATGAGTAATTGAAAATCGACCAATGATCAAAATAGGCATGTTCGTTTATTTTAAAAAATCTTGTAAGTTTTTTGCAATAAAATAATTTGTAAAAATCATAGTAAAGAGAAAACGCTTTTTTTTCAGTAAACGAACCTTTGAACATTTAGAAACATCGAATCGAAATAATAAAATCATTGGTTAATAAAAAAAAAGAAAGAAATTATTTTTTCATTCTTGTAATAGTCGACCTTAAATTTAAATTAAAAAATTATTTAAAAGAAGTACAGAAGTTTTCTCATCCTCTTGAGAATGAGGGTGACAATGTTTTTTTCTGGCTTTCACACCTACACTCAAGTTACGATCAACATACTAATCGGCCAGTTGCCATTGTTTTTTCAAATTGAAGACTGGTTTCCAAATTTATTGAACAGCAATATTTGGTGGTCTTTGCATTGTACCAGCCAAATGAATCACACCAACAACATTCGATCTATGCTTCCGAATAAAATCCATTATTTTCTTGACTAATTCAGGTATTCCACATAGACATGTTATTGGTAATAAGAGCGGCATATAATATGTAATGCATCCCAAAATGGTGTATTGATCAGCCATGAATGAAGGCATTACCGTTATTTGAACAAAGCTTACCCATACAAGTGGTAGCCAAAGTGCCACATGAAGTGAGGACATTGCCCAAAATTGCAAGATCAGTTTACGATGCCGTCGCCAATTAATGATTGGATGACGAGAGATTTTTTCTTTGATTATTCGAATTACTAATATAAGATTTACAATAATAACAATAAGAAGAGGAGCGCAGATATTGAAAATAAAATCATATGCACCATAAACACCCCTATAAGTGTAACATGGAAGCCCACAAAGAAGTACTTCAAAGTTCCATACAGTAGTACATTGTGCACTAATGACAATTAAGATAAAATACACAACTGCTGGCCATATAACACAAATACTGTAGGATGCGATATGCAATATCCATGTTTTTCATCGCCCTCGAAATACTGCTGCTGACTGAAAAATGAGCAAATGTCTCTCGATTGATATCCATACCATAAAAAGCAATGCTATACTATTTGAAGAAAAATTATACCATGTCCACCAAACGCAAAGTGCATTCGATTCAGGCCATACTTTTCCTCTATAATAAAAATTCATTGCTATAGGTAAATCTAATAGCAGTTGAAAGAAATTTATAATCAGTAAAACAAGCCAACTACGATGCTGACGTTTTATAAGAATTGCAGGATTTTGAGTAAAGTATACGAAAATGATGATTGAAATGCATATCGCCTGTGTTTCGAAGATGATTGACAGAGAAAACTCAATGTTGTAACTCATGTTTTGGAAACGATATAATGAGGCGAAAAGAGATGTTATAAAATAAGGAACATTGCTTGTCACTCAAATATCTAGAATGACAAGTATAAAGGAGAGAGAATCATGACATATTTTGTTACATTAATATATTTTTCAATGCATGAGAAGGTTGCATCCAATTAAAGTAAGTATAATGATAGACTACAATTACAGAGCACTGTTCAAAAGATGCCGACTTTTTAGTTTGGGAATATTATACAGTTTTAACGATGAAGCCTAGGAAGGAAAATCATAGTAATCAGAATAAGTAACACATAAGTAATATTATTAGAACATATGATCGTGTATAATATAGTGTTAATATTAACAGTTTCTTCCTGTGTATTTACAATTATACACATTATACGAAACATTAAAATATTCACTGGATTTTCTGTGGATCCCATGTAACTTACAAACGTCGATAAAACGCATATAAGAACGTTTCTGAACGCAGTACATTAGTGGGTTCTAGTTGGCATATAGACGCATTTGTATGACTTTTAACATCAAAGATTGTAAAAATTCGCCTAAATTATACAAACATGCTACGTGTTTCAAAATGGTTCCAGTAACTGATTCTTATGTTGACTGATTAACAAAACTAATGCGAATTTAATTGTTCTTGACCGTTTTACATGAAATGGTGAGCATTTGTCAACAAATAACTTTGTTGTTTATAATCTCTAGCTTGAAAAAAGATGATGCAGCTAAAAGTGCAGAAAAACAAATTTGATTTAAGTTCTAAATTATAAATTGAACAGCACTATTCCATCACTTCGACTGAAAAGAAGGAAAAGAACTTACCTTAGTAATAGGGATGGGAATGTTGCAAGACTGGACAAGACATCTGACCGAGTCATTTAAATAATCCTATAGAACTTTTTACAGTTAAAATGTTTCGAGCTACTTTTAGTAACATTTAATCTAGACTAGATTGAACTACAGAATGACATTTAGCAACAAATGATATTAGCCTCATAGGCTTGATCATGCTCTTCAATTGAGCCAGCTATTTTTAAAACACTATAGTTGAATTCTTTAAGCTAAAATAAAATATTTTTTTTGTAGCTCAGACTAACTTAGATTAAACGGTACTTATAAGTAAGTTGGAATATTTTAGCAGAAAAAAAATTTGAGAAGATTCTTTAAATAACTTGGTCAAATGTCTCGCTCAATTTTGGAAGGGGAAGGTGAGATATATGAATAGTGGTATCTAACTGTGATCTTGCATGAACACATATTGACTCACTTTAACCCACCTGTCTTTATTAAAACGTATAAGGGACAACAAATCAATACATAATCCAATCAACTTCAGATGACACAACATGTATAAGTTTGTTGGATGCTTAGACACCTATGAACTTTCAGTAAGAATATCCAAAAGAGGAAAAATTACATTTTTATATCAATTATAATTATAAGTGAAGTCAGAATTTTCCTTTAGGAACAGTCAATAAAACTCTAATGTTGAATACATTTTCAAAACAAATAAAGAGATGACTTGAGTTTGTATTTGTATTTTATCTATTGAATAAATTACATATGAATATTTAATGATTAACAACCGTACTTAGAACATCAATACCAATAACTAACTCTTTTATATTAGTTTGAGAATATCTTCTTGATATAGTACAATAGAGGAGTAAAAAACACAGTAGCTTATTTTTCTGTTTCAACTATTGATTTTTTTTTTTGAGCTAATGAATTCTTATGACGAGCAATCGGGGGTTACTATCATCAAGATACAAAAAAAACCTATACTGTCCAGGTTAGTAAGTAAAAAAATGGCTTAAAGAAAATTAACAATCAACTAAAATTCGGTTTATTTAGAAACATCAATGGAACTAGATAAAAGGATTAGGCATCACTCTTATCATATCATACAAAGACGTTATTATGAGAAATACTTATTTCTATTATTTAGTGAAAGAAATCATTTTGATACAAACTTATAGCCTGAGGAATAAAGACTACCATTACATGAAGTTCCCCATGCCCCATATTTGTTTGCTTTATCATCGGCTTGTCGCGATACTCTTGAGAATTAGCGATGGCGCTTAAGACTTGCAGTTCCAGCTACAAACAATTAAAGAAAGTATTTTCTACATAGAGTCGAGTAATTTATTAGAAAGAGGTGAAATTAACCGAGAATAAAGCAATAACAAAATATATTTTAGTACCCAAATCAAAGACGTACGACGGGAAACAACCAGATCCGGTTATTTCCAGTACATTTCCGAGGCAGAATTTCCGAACCGGTTTCGACATTTGGATGCGATAATAAAGTGCGACTCGTACTTTGCCTTTTGCAGCCGCGTAGGCAGTCGAAAATGTTCCATTAGAGCTAGAATGACTTTCAATTGTGTACAAAAAAATATGAGCAACTAAACGTAGATAAAAGATTCCAATTGATTTAAATTGAATTGCACTTCGATAGCAGTCTCTACTAATCAGAAAATAATCAAAATAAATTTTCTGAGGATGATTATCTCGTTTATGTCCGATTTATGAAATTCAAATATCGATATTTATAAAGATAATCAATTCGAAATCAATAACCGCACTTCACGACTAAGTAAGTTACATATCAATCATAATAACACACTTCGAATTCATAACCTATGATCGAATCCAGAGACCAATTCTTTCTTTTCTTGATTTCAATTGTTAACCAGTCCCTATCCATAAGCAATATACTCGTCGTGAAAAAGTCTTCAACATCATATTATTCTCTCAATTCATAACACAGCACAAAAGCCAGAATTCAAATAAAGATTTATTTCTCGTGACTGCTTGTCGTTTCGAAAATGCGAAAAACTTTTGTTCATTTCCTGTTCCTGAATATCAAGGAAGTCTTTAAAGAGCTATGCCAATGTAACGATAAGAAATATATAAAAGTAGTAGGCACGATCGAGTGTTGCATAGAGATATTTACGTTTTTCAAGACAAGCATTCTTTTTCAAAGTTTTTCAAAGTAAAAAAATTCTTCAAAGGACTTCGCTATTTCGAACAAATCTTCTGTCATCAGCTTTTGACTCAATATGATGAAATATACCCAAAGCGTTCTATTGAGACAAGGGTTTTTGATGGGCAAAGGTATTTGAAGACTTTGATGAAAACTAGTGCTATTCCTTCGTGTCCTCGAGTGGATACAGTCCGGTTTCTGTGTTTTCTAGTCTGGATCCAGGTGATCACCGTTGAATTTCTTCGTATCTTGATGATGAGAAACGTTGGGAAGGGCAAGGTTCGGGGTACGATGAATTTTCAACAGGAATACTGTTTCTATATTTCTGCATGTTTCCTGCTAGATTCATGCGGATTTCGTGTCCGGAATCGTTGGCCTGGGTAAGAACAATTGCTGTAGTGCTATCTCTAATAAAATTTATCTTATAATTGAGATCGATTTGGGCTCGGTAGACAGTGCATGTGGCTCATACGCATCAACACTATCAACACGTATCGAAAACAAACGAATTCTGTTACCTTTAGAAGACTTTGAAAATATTCATTCGTTCTAATACAATGCACTATGATGCAACATTTTCAAAAAAAAAGGACCGCTAATAGTTTCTCGTTAGTAATCATATGGGTTAGTTCTGCAAAGACGAAACGAGGAGAAAAGAAGTTACTATATACTTACTGGAAAAAGAAAAACATATTTGAAAAATATCCAATCACTGAAATTATGAATAGGTAATGAGTTTCAATAATTTCGTATGCCCTAGTGATAGATGATTTTGATAAAATCTCAGTTCAATACGTCAAAGTACAGCAAACATTCGGTCCCATAGAAGAATCCTTATAACTTCGTCTCTACAAGAGGCACAGAGCTCGTAGTGGTTTCAAACTAAAGTCAATACTAGTGTGCAGTTTTTATTCGAACAGAATTTTGAAATTAGTTTCTATTCATTTTCTGATGATCATTTTAGTCCATATAGTGTTGAAATCAGCACAAAACATGCTACTTCACGACATCAATTCTCGCTTTTCTCAACATAGAAATCAACTATTAAAAATCTAGTAAAATAAAAATTTATTTTCATTCAGATCGTTGCAATAGAAAGATAAGTATTGGTTATATCTTGAACCGAATCGGAGGAGGATTTGAATTGTTTTTATTGAAAATCATGTTTTGAGAGAAACGGTTATTCTTGGGGTCCTCTTCCTCTATCAATTCTTAGTAATCAGGATTACATAGTGGACATTTGCAATAGTCCTATTTGCCATTTAATGCGATATTTATAATAAGATTAGGTTCATGAAGCTGTAGTAAGAAGCTTTTCATTCAAATCTCGATTGAAAAACATAATAAAGTCGCATATTAATAACATATTCATGTGGAATCTTTAAAAGCGCATAACAAATGGCGTAAGCTAGAATCATCTTTCCTGCTTAAATTAACGGGTATTTCAGAAATAATGAACTTCTCCGTATTGTAATAATATCTCTTTTGATTTTCGTTGATTCAGACTTTATTTTATTGTTTTTTATTTTAAAAAAATGTCTTTTAATTCTCTATCAAACAGTATGCTTTGTGTTAATGCAAATAACATCTCTTAATCTCCAAAATAAGCTTGGATTGAGCAGTTCATGATGAACATTGTTCTACATCAGTTTCTTGTCCAATATATACTGATTACATATTTCATTTTTTTTTATGAGATTGTTTTTCGACGCTACTTTTTCTATTCGACAGAATATACAAAATCATTTGCAATTGAACAATCTCACTTTTTTTTTAAATGTAGACGTGTATGGTAGGTAAGTTTTGACATTGATGACAAGAAGGGAAGTTGATTTGACATGATTATTTTAATAATCAAGTGATATAACGCAACTATTTCATAATGAATTTCCATTAACAGAAAACATACCATTTTCTAGAGCATTAAAAGACAAACTTGTTAATAAAAACAAGTAAAGCCTGAGCAAACGAAGATCAAAAGAGATATTATTAAAATAAGGAGAGGTTCTTTATTCCTGAAACACTCTTTATATGACAATGCCCATTTAATGTCGATACAAATAAAAAAAGTCTTCTCAAAATTTAAAAAACTTTAGAAAAAACGTGAAAATTTCTTGGAAATCATAACAATATGGTCGAAATTTGGTCTTTTTACGGAAAATCAAATATATAACAGGCATCAAAATAAATTAAAAAGGTTTTATTTTTATTTTTTCCGCTGTTGTAAGCGCGAGAAGGAATCTAATGAGTGATTCATGTAGAAACAGCTGTGCGAAAAAAAGATTATAAAGAATTACAAGTTATGATCAAATTTGCAAAGATAGGTATTTCCGAATATAAAAACAGTCGTTTTTTTCAACATCTAGGAGAGTTTAATATAATTTTATATAGACTACACAGAACAATAGATAAAATAATTCTCTAGAAACTGAGTTATTGCCAAGTTCATTAATATTCGCGGAATCTTCTTGTGAGAAAAAATCATCTTCAATTCTTTTTGAAAGAAAAAGAATTTTTTGAGTAGTCTGCGGAAAACCCTGAAATGAAATTACGAAAAGTTATTTTCATTCTCGAATATCAAATCAAAGTCACTACGTCTAGAGTTGTTAGCTTATAATTACAAAATGAAAGGAAAAATCTAACCGATTTTCTTCTATATTAGTTTATACAATTTAGTTGATTGTCTTCATGAATAGCTGGTAACAGTATATAAAATCCTCCAAGTTTAATCTTCCGATTTACAAATTTAATGTTATAGACAAAACCTATCTTATGCTCCATCAGTTGATATTTATTATCTAAACTTACTATTCGAACGTTGTAAAGAGAAAATTCGATCAATTGTTGCAAATGAAAACAGACTAAGCGAAACTGCATGATTTTAGACGG